GGGGGGGTGCTGATGTTATATTGGTTGCTAATTTCTTTTTTGTGGGTATGCTTTTTGCTAAGTATAAATTCTATATTACGCAAACATCCTGTAATACTTGACACCGAGCTCGGTGCGGCCTGGGTATAACGCCCTTTTCAAAGCAAAAAGAGTTTTTTTACGAGGCAAGGTCGAAGCTCCTGTTTCACGCTCACCTCCTTTTTGTTTATAGTAGAGGGTTTTACAGCGCTCACAACTGCATAAGGTCATATGAGCGCCAAGGGGTGGGTGTCAACAGAGAAGTCTTTACAGGGAATCAGACTTACTCTACTCACTTCTCTTGCTTCATCAGCACAAGGTCTGTTTCAACTATCAAGGCACCCCGGAAATAGCAGGTCAAAAGAGAGCGACAAACATACAAAAGAAGTAGAGGAAAATGACAATAGCAAGGATTAGGAAAGAAAAAGCAGCAGTTCCCTGTTGTAGACCAGTCACAGTTCACAGGTATGAGCGTGACATGAATCAGCCCATTTACTACTCTACTGCGCTTGAACGAGAAATGTCCCCCCCCCCCCCTTTTTTTTGAGAATGGCCTAAAGACACTACAGTCTAGTAGGCAGTCTAAAAATAAACACGATAGACCCTACGCTATTCTTTGCCAATAGTATGTGGACCCCGGAGCAATTCAGCGGAGTGCTCAAGTGAATTATGATTGGTTCATTGTTTGTTTTGCCACTAGCCTATTTTAAGTGACTCTGTAACCGTGAACCTGAGGGAGGTGAACGTGACCGTCCTATGAGTTGTGCCTTTGAATGGTTTTGTACTGGAGTAGTGAAAGTTATTACATACTTGAGTGTTCGGTTCCAATACAGGATGAACGAAGTTGATGTTTAGCTAACAAACAAATTTAGTACCAGAGATCAAAGCGACAAGTAAAAAGAATGAAAATAAAAGCACGAGGCCCTCCCTCACAAACCCAAAGATCCTAAAATTATACACCGTCTCATTTACTATGCCCTTGACTATCTTCAGCATGCGATAGCTTAATTATTATTGTGCACGCCCACTTTTTAGCCCCATGTATACGAGCCGCCCCAGCTTACTGCGTTGTAAGTGCCGTGAAACTCTTTCTAACATTAAACTAAACGGAGCTAATCATTGGAGTTTCGACAAAAAATAAAAGATAAAAGCGTGCCGACAGAATATAAAGGGCAGGGAATAATAAAAAATATTATAATAATAATAATAATAATAATAATAATAATAATAATAATAATAATAATAATCAGTGGCGGGGCGCCTGCAATTGGTGCAAGCGCTCCACCTAACCCTGGCACCCCCCCCCCCCCTTTTTCTAAAAGTTCCAAACCAGTCAGAGCTCTATATCTACATTAGGCCTAGCCCACTAAAATGTAGGCTTCATCCTAGCGATCCGTCACCCGCTGGCTGCGCCAGTGACGAGACAGAGAGCGAGGATGGTTTATGCTTGTCGGACCGCTTGCGGTAGCGTCTGCTAGGAGCAAGCAAAATCTTTGCACCAAAGTTATTTTTGTCACTGTAGAGAAATCTAGGCAACGTTCTTCCCGCACAAGAAGAAACGTGCTTGAAACTCAAACAAACAAAGAAAAAAAACAAAGGGAAAAAACCCCCACAATTATATAACTCAGGAGTACCTCTCTGGGGAAAAAGGGGGGGGGGGGGCTAGATGGAAATTCTGCACTGTAGACTGTAGAACTGACCTTAAGATGTCCACATTGCCTTCTTCTCGGTCTTTCTGAAAGTCATTTTTTTTTTTTTTTTTTTTTTTAAAATTAGTAAGAGTTTTACGACACTTGCAACATAGTAAGGTCATAAATATGATATGTGAGGCATCGTGGTGAAATGAGGCGCTCGTCAAAATAATGAAATCCGAGAAATCGGCATTTTTCAGTCAGTTTGGAAATTTCTTTTGAATTTTTTTTTTTGGGCTCAACACCTTGTATGTTTATTCAAAAACGCTTTTATGTGCTAATTTTATAGAAAAACGTTGTTTAAAGGCACAAAAAAATGTTAATTTGCAGTTTCCAAGGATTCTTCAGCTCTATGGAAGTCATCAAACTTTGGCGGCCGTTAATTCACTCATTTAACTTCTGAAACCTAGTGACCCCACCTCCTTCAATCGGAAATATCTCGATTTCTATTCAAGATAAATTATGTATATTTTTTCTTCGAAAGCAAGGCAAATGAATAACCTTTAAGATGATATCAATAACTCCATATGCCCACAAATTGACGAACGCCTGACTTCACCGCGTCGAAGATTAGAGGTTTTATAAGGAGCAACAAACATAAAAAGGTGGAAAGATTAGCAGCATAGTTTTAGAAAAAGTTTTATGGCATTTGCAACACATATTAGTGCTCATATAAGTGCAGAAGATTAAAGGTGTTACAATTTTTAAAAAAGTTTTAGTAAGGTTTTACGGCGTTCGCAATTGCATAAGGTCATATGAGCGCCAAGGGAAGGATGTCAACAGAGAAGTCCAAACAGGGAATCAGGCTTACTTTCCTCACCTCTCTAGCCTCAACAGCACAACGTCTGCTTCGGTTATCAAAGCACCTGGAAATAGCAGTTCACAAGAGAGTGACAAACATGCAAAAGAAGTAGAGGAAAATTACGATAGTAAGGAAGAGGAAAGAAAAATCCGCAGTTGCCCCTATGCTGTTTCGCAGTATGAGCATGACTTTGATAAATCAGCCCATTTACAATTTTACTGTGCATAAGAACGTGTTAAAATCCCCCTTTGGGAATGGCCTAAAGGTAGCACTGCCCAGGTGGGGGGGGGGTGTTACAAGGTTGCAACGAAAGCAAAAAAGATGGAGAAGAGATAAGGACGATACATGTTTGATTGGAAAGAAGAAGCAAACCACACTAGAACACCCACCAACGACCCACTGGAAAGTTAAGAATGATAAATATTTGATGAGAAAGAAGGAGAAAACCACATCAGAACACCCGCCAACCACTCGCTTTCCAAAAGTCAGAACAGAAGTAAACTAAACACACAAGGATAGAGTGCACAGCGAAGGTCATAATAGGCTATACATGTATATTGTTTAAGTTTCTTCAACTTGTCATCTCTTCCTCTCTGAGATAAGGAGCAGGCACTGTACTGTAAATTCAGTCGAAATTGTCCCAGACAGCTACTCCTATTGTCAGGAGAAAGGTGGTTGTCTTAAACCGACTTGGACATTGCCGTTTTAATAATCATATTTATTTTTAAATACGCAAAGAGGGAAATGGTCGTTTGTACAGGTGACTGTCTAAGACAGGAAGCTGTGCTTTTAGTTTTAGTAAGTGTTTTACGGCACTTGCAACACAATAAGGTCATATAAGTGCCGAAGATTAGAGAGGTTACAAGAGAGTAACAAACACAAAAAAGAAGGGGAAATATAGACGATAGGTGTTCGATAGGAAAGAAGAAGAAAACAACACCAGAGCACCCACCAACTACCCACGGAAGCTGTTCGAGCAGGTTAGATTGTACTTTACACTATAGTATAAGACCACCACACGGTGAGAGTGAGAGGAGATTCTGCAGAATTTTAATGATCTCAGGATCTCTATCTTAGGAGTAACCTTCAGATATTCATACCAGAAACATCATGATAGCCCCATGAAACCAGTTGTCAGACTGGGTTATTTCATATTTAACTCTTGTACTGGTAACACAAATTCGTGTTTCTGCCATGATGACACCCATATCAAACGAATAACAAGAGAGATGACAGAAATAATTAAAACAGGTGTAAGATACCCAAAAAGCACTCTCAAAACACACAAACACTCACACACACACAAATAGCATACCTGTGCATAGCATTACAGGTACTGGTAGTAGTAAGAACCCATTGGAAAACAGTGCAACTGTAGTTCTTTTCATATTTATTCATTGACAAACTGATTCATAGTGGAGCTGCAAGCACAAGACTGAGTTCAGTACAAAAGGCAAGCAATGCATGAGCAGGACATGAATGTAACAGCCATGACCACCAAACACGAGCAAACAAAAATAAGAAAACAGCAATTGAAGGAGCTCAAGAGGAAGCACATGTGCAAAACACAAACCAGATAGTTATATGAATCAGTAACCCGTAAATTTCCCTAAAATAAGAATACAAAATTCAGTGAAAATTTACTGAACAAAACAATCATAAATAGATCATATTGTATAGAGCTAAGTGAGTAAAGAGCGGGTGTGAAACTTAAACTTAATTAACGGGGAGTATGAAAAAACAAAAGACAAGCTCAAAGAAAGCATTAATGAAATTTCTAGTAACTACACTTACAATTTTGATTTGTTTTATTGTAATCATAATCTTGAAAGAAAAAAAAACTTTGACTCAGTTCAACTCCAAATCAAACAGGGCAGAATTATATTGATTTCCCCTAACATTTAATTTTTACATAGGCCTACTGTAACATTTCAAATATTGTCTAAAATTCTTAAACAATGAATAAATCTGCCAAACACCATGAAACTAACAGGAAACTCTGCTTAACCTTTAGTACCTATCATTTTCATATTTCACCATTTTCCCTTGCATCTCTATAAAGGATATAAAAACAGAGCCCAGCAAAAATAAATACTAGAGCAAGTGCATAGACCGACAAAAACAAATAAAACGATTCAACAAAGGGTACTTGGACTTCTCAGATCTCAGGTGCACATAAAGAAATCAAATACAATAACAAAAATGTAAAAAGAAGGTTTAGAAATGGTACATGATGTAATGGCAGCTTTACCTGACTAGGGGTACACAGATTATATCAATCATGTATACAAACCCACCCAGATACTGCTAATAACTGTAAGAAGGAACTCAAAAACACATTTAAATAAACAAATAAAACAGTGAAAGCCAACATTTTCCTAACAATTTTAGCTTTTGAAATTTAACAGGAGTTGTAAGGGTGTATTAACATCAAATGACAGACTTCCCTCCAAAGATTTTCCACCAACAGCCGTCTGCCAAAGAGATGAAATCAAAACCCAACTCAATATAAATCCCTGTTTATTATTTTTTCAGAAGTAACCTTATTTGTGTGCTGCTTCTATATATTCTACTCTTTACAAAGCGTGATTTTCAGCTAACAAAATCCATAAAGTAAATACAGATGGTGGTACAATGAGAAAGACATACAGACCAAGCAAAGCTGATGTTGTATCAAAAAGAGGGGGATTCAGAGTTTGAAAAATGTGTATGGTCAACGTAAAAAGTGCAAGGACATTTTGTTTTTCGAAACACTTAACCAAAAAAAAACACCAATAACAAAAGTGCCCTTTATCATATGAGGGACAAAAAAGCATTAGGAGCACCAGCACAGCAGAATAAAATGAGCTTGTCCGAAAAGCTGCAGACACAAAATTTTGAATTTTCCTCTTCAAACGGAAAAATACAAAGAAAGAAAAATATAAGTAGGAAACATTAAAGTGTCATGTCATTGAGTTGGCTTTCGTTCCAAGATGAAGAGAAGACATGGTGGTCTGGGACAACAGCAAAAAAACTAACATAAAAAAAAGAAGACAGAATAACCACTCTGAGAGCAGTGACAAATCCTTAAGTCAAACCCATATCAACATACATAAAGGGAAATAAAAATTAAGGTAAAAAAATCACATCGACAGAGAAGCAACATTAACTTTGGCTACTTATCTAACTGGGTATGAGAATGGATATAGGTCAACAGAAAAAAACCCATTGTTACCACATCCAGAAACAAGCCTCACAAATACTCCTGTTTTTGTGTGTGTGTGTGTTGTTTTTTAATATAGAAAGACAACCCCTGTGTACAAAACAAGAACTAGTAACAACAATTTACCAGAACAAATATTTCAAGTGGAGTCTTTTCAAACATAGTCATCAACATGATAGTTCTTGTTAGACAACCGTAAAGCATTACAACTTTCTTGGGGTGTTTCAGTCAAACAACAATAGGAGCATAGAGCAGTTATCTTCTGTGCCATGCAGAGGGTGGCTATGCACTGTTTCAATTGTATACTGCAACACTGACAGCACAATAATGGTACATGTCATGTCATAGATCTGGCAGGCATACCAACCACAGAATCAAATGCTCTGAACAGGCATAAGTAACAAGTCACAGGTAAGCCTAAGTGTCCGAAGTCACTGATTCTTTAACCCAAATAATGATTTATATTGAATAATTTTAAAGCACATTTGATTCTTCACAAATTCTTAACAATCAACGACAGTGACTGCAAAGGGGCAACTCCAGAAAAGCTTATATTACAGGAAAAGGAAAAATACCCGCGATTGTCTTCATGTTAGATTTCTCTATGGAATGTCAGATATTTGTTCGCAGGTAGACGGAAGAAACCCGTGGTTGGTCCTTCTCATGTACTCCTGCTTGGTGGTTTCTGTCCGTCTCTACTTTCTCCCAGCACTTAACGACTACCAGTGTGCTGAAGTGCCTCTTCATAACTCAATCAAAAAAATGTGTATTTCAGTTCTTGTTTCGCCATTTCACTGATAGAATTATATATCACATGATCTAGACCCTTATGCTCCACGATTTAACATTTAATAACTGCTCCACGATTTAACATTTAATAACTTTCCTTAGTAACATCAGACTTGGCCACTTAAGCCCACCATCTTTAATGGCCCCCCACCATTCCAAGCACAATGGTACAAGTCATTATGATACAAACAAAAAAGTCAGGCAATTCTATAGTGGTTACTGGTGGTTACCTAAAATAAATAATTAGTAGGAATAATTACAACCAATGTATTTCAATCACAGATGAGATGAATGAAAAGTAATGAAAAAAGACGACAAAAAAGCACATCTTAATTTTGGGCTGTTGAAATTATCACCTGGTACATAATTTGGACGTTTACATTTTGCTTCACAAATAAATGTTTCCAAACCGTCATTTTTATCATTCATAGAATACATTCATTCTAACTCAATAGTAAACACTACCGAAAAACTAGGCAAGTTCAGTTATGACTATTCATAAGTTCTTTAAAAAACTTCATCTGGTCCCCATGACCTTGCAGACAAAAATGGCTGCCTTTGTGGTAGAGCCTGTTGTGGGTTCTCAGTCTCAAGTGTCTGAATTAGCTGAAGTTTCACACCCCACCAAAAACACAACAGGTTATTCTTTCTAGGTTGAGAAAAACAACTTGAAATCAAGAACTTAACTGGGAGGAAATGTCAAGTGTTTAATGAATGATTCTACAACGACCTGCAGTTATAAGTAACTTGTGAGCAACGTCAAATATACTGAAGGTGTATCTTGACAGTCATAGTAACAGAAAAAATGTAACTCATGTCAAGTCAGAGCATTGTAGAATATCCCTGATAAACAAACTGCTGTACTCACCTTATGCAATTTGACCAAAAACCCACTTCTAAAATATCTAACATTTCATAGAATTATACTGTCAAGCACTGAAAACTAATTTCACATACAAACACACACACACAACCATATTTAAATGCAATTCATCCGCATCATTTTATCATAATCTGCAGTCAATATTGGCTTCCCAGTACACTAGGAACAAAAATATCTTACTATCAGAAAAACTGCAGCATCTCTAAAACATATTATGCTATAAAATACTTTCTTTACACACAAACAACAACTGGTATATCACAAAGAAGCAGATCCCGGCTTTGGTTTAGTCTGAATTTTGAGTTCCAAAATCCACTGGACACTGGCAAGGTCAATTTGAAAGTGGAAAACTCACACCCTCTACCCCACCCCCTCTTTTCTATGTCAAGGCACCAGGCTGAGATGAAGACTGCTCCAGAAAGGAAAAGAGAGCTATGAAAAAGACCCTCTGTACGTCAGTTTAATTCATATTTGACCACATCATAGGGGCATACTTTAGCTTTGTTTCCAAATCCAACAATTCTATCCTCCCAAATCTCATCAATGAAAGGTGGCTGGCTAAGAATCAAATGGTTTATGGTTTTGATGTGCATTATTAATAAAGAACCTCAAAATACTTGTCACAAATCTTTACCATAACAATATTAACCTGATGTACGAGTATCAAACACCTCTAGGCAAAAATACACACAGACTCCTCAGGATGTCACTCACTGTTTTCCGGGCGACACATTCTCAGTGGAGAGACGATGAGTTTTTGAACATGAGTAAGACCAACACACATCCATCATTTCATCTGTTTATCTTCAGGCAACAGACTCCATCAGTCACACACAACACACAGTTTTATAAAGTGTCTGGAACAGCTTAACATTATTCTGAATGCCAGGGCAGTCTCAGACACTCAGGAATGAGTTCAACTCATGGCGTCAGTTTCGAGTACACTGGAGGTGAGAATTTCTTCCTCAAGTATTTCAGCACATACAACGGAATGCAGGAGATGGATGTAATCACCAGGACCTTCCAAACAAAATCCCAAGTCCTCAAGAACTGATTATCTGTAAAGACAAATTTGCACATCGTACATCAATAATGAAGTCATGAGACAGTCAGTCCCTGCAAATTAAAGACTGCAAAATATGTTTAAAGGAAAGTTTGGATTTCTATAGTTTAAATGTTTTCTTCGGTGCCTATAAATGGAATACCAGCATACAGTAGGTACTAAATCAGTTCTCTAAACTAGACCATGTTCAAATCTTATACTACTCACTATTTTTTGTGAGCAGATTTTGACACCTGGATTGTAGAGCACAATTTGTTTGGGGTCTCAAACAGAGGATGGCCAATATTTGCCACCTCTAGATCAAAGGTTTGAGAGCCTGGCCACTAATGAACTTCTGACTTATAAAGAGCTTCCACCCTCCCTTCCCCCCTGATACTATGAGCATACTCACCAAAGTAGTCCTTGAGCACAGCCAAGGAGACTATGTAGATGGCGAGTGAGAGGAGCTGGGCTAAGACCATGAGGTAGTGCCACGTGCGCACCGTGAGCCCCACCATGAGCAGCTCCGTCAGGATGAGCGAGGTGAACGTGATGCTCACAACATGGATAAACTCTGCCTCAAACAGAAGCAGCGCCCCGTACATGATTATGCCACCTGCACAGAGAGCAGTAACAATGGATCAAAAGCGTTTTGTGTAAAGAGAAAGATTAGAACTTGGAAACAGAAGGAAAGGTGTAAAAATGACAACCTGACCGGTCCCGTAATGATATTTGTATGGTAGTGGAAGATATATACAGAAGACTTTGTTTAACACGAAGCCATTCACACAAAATTCCTGTTATCACAAAAGAATTTTAAATCCCCAGATTTTTTTTCACTCTCTATTCTATACATTGCAACTTCCTTTAATTCACTTAACTCTTTAAACCCTGAGTTTTTTCCACTGTTTCCCGGAGGTTTTTTTTAACAGTCACCTGAACCTGGTGCACAATGTCTCATTATAAACTCAAAAGTTTGCCTCCAACTTCTAAATAGCGGAAGCAAAGGCTTAGTCACTACTAAAAAACTTGGTCTGGGAATAGTTCCGAAAAACAAGCAAATACTAGCACTAAATAAAACAAAAATGTTGTCTCTAGTATTGGACGCTCCCAGCGTCAGACGGGGATGAAAGAGTTCATCATCAATGCCTTTCACCCCTGGCAGGGTATAGGCCACATACTAGAGACGGGCGGGAAGCGCTTTTTCCTTCCCGAGCGAGAAGACCGAGAAGCTGACCTACTTCTCGCCAGGACCGGTCCCGAGAACGGGAAATATTTCGCGTCTCGTGTCTCGAGAAATACTTCTCATCTCGTGACCAATTTCTCTTCTCGCCCCGCAGTTCGAGCCATTCGTTCAGCGAGAAGGCCGGACGTGGCCGAGATTTCTCTTCTCGCCCCACAGAACGAGCAGCTCGTTTAGCGAGAAGACCGATCGTGGCAGGGATCTAAACTTAGAAACTACGCTTGCCCTGTTGCGCAGGCGCAGGCGGTGAAGGAAGGTAGGGAGACCTAGGCCTAGGCCCTGATCAACTCCCCACTCGCCTCGTCTCGCCAACCTCTCCCCTCCCTTTCAGTTTCACACACAGGACGGCACGGTGATGGGTGGCACTGTCTGCGTTGTCATTTCTCGCCTCTCACTCTCTCACTCTCGTTACTGTTACTCGTTGTGTCAAGCCAACAAGCAATATCACGTCTCGGTACCGAGCAGTAGTTTAGTGCCCGGAAAGTGACGGGAAGGCCGTTACCCGCAAGAAACGGGTACTCGGCTCGCCTCGTGCCCGCCCCTACCACATACAAGCTCCTTCCATTTATCTCTGTCCTGAGCCATCCTTCCAAGCTCGTTCCAAGTGAGCTTCATTTCTCTCATGTCCCTTTCCATGCATCTCCTCCATGTTTCCCGTGGCCTACCCCTGCCTCGTGCTCCTTGTAGGTTCCACTGCAGTGACTGTCTTGTGATGTTTCCGCTGGGCTTTCTTAAGGTGTGTTCCATCCATCGCCACTTTCTTAGTCCTATTTCTACTTCTATATCCTTTTGTCCTGTTCTTTCTCACAACTCTTCATTTCTTATTCTATCCTGCCACTTAATTCTTAGAATACTCCTCATACATCTGTTGACGAAAGTCTGGACTTTATTCAGTACTGTCTTCGTTGTTTTCCAAGTTTCGCAGCCGTAGAGGAGCACAGACTTGATGTTGGAGTTAAAGAGTCGAACCTTGGTGCGCAGTGAAATGTTGCTTGCTTTCCAGACTTTTGATAATTGCTTGAAGGCTGACCTTGCCTTGGCAGTTCTTGCTTTAACATCTGCCTCGGTTCCACCTTTACCATCGATGACATTTCCAAAGTAGGTAAAGGAGTCCACTTTTCCCAGGGGAGTGTCTTTCACTGTCACAGCAGGGCTTGAAACTTTTCCTAGCTTCACTACTTTTGACTTGCCTGGATGTATACGTAGGCCAACACTCCTTGATAGGCTGATGAGTTCCTTGGTCTTTTCTTGCATCTGAGCATGTGTGTGAGAGAGCAGTGCAAGGTCATCTGCGAAGTCTAAGTCGTCCAGCTGCTGCCAAGGGATCCATTGTATTCCATTATGTTTGCCTCTGGTGGCTTCTTTCATGACCCAGTCAATTGCCAGTATGAAGAGAAAAGGTGAGAGCAAGCATCCTTGTCGCACTCCTGTCTGTACCTGGAATAGTTCTGAGAGTTGTCCTTCGTGGAAGACTTGGCAGTTTGTTCCATCATAGGTGGCCTTCACAAGCTTGACGATTTTCTCAGGTATTCCAAAATGCTGCATGAGTTTCCACAGAGCTTCCCTGTCCACGCTGTCAAACGCCTTTTCATAGTCAATGAAGTTGACCACGAGTGGTGAGTTCCATTCAAGCGATTGCTCAACAATGATGCGCAGAGTAGCGATCTGGTCCACACATGATCGGTTTTTGCAGAATCCTGCCTGGTTTCCTCGAAGCTTCTCATCTGTTGCCAGCTTGATTCTCTCCAGGAGTATCCTGTTGAAGACTTTCCCAGGTATGGACAGGAGTGTAATGCCTCTGTAGTTGTTACATTTGCTGAGGTTTCCTTTCTTTGGCAGCTTGATTAGGTGGCCTTCCTTCCAGTCTGATGGTATTTCCTCCTTTTGCCAAACCTTTTCAAATAGAGCATAGAGAATTTCCACAAAACGTATCTTTCTCTGCCTTAAGGGCTTCCGGTGGTATATGGTCGGGACCAGCTGCCTTGTGGGACTTCAGTGTTTTTATAGCAGCTGCAATTTCCTCTCTTGAAGGTGGTTCCGAGACTATTGGGAGGTCATTTCTGGCTGGAAGAATTTCTGGTTGGTTTTCTGGAGGAGGTCTGTTCAATGGTTGATCAAAGTGTTCTCTCCATCGGTTAAGTTGCCCCTCTGGGTTGAAGATAGTCTTTCCCTCTTTGTCTTTCACTGATAGAGTGGGCTTGCTGAATGTACCTGAAAGTGTTCCTATAGTCTGGTGTACAATCCGTAAGTGCCCGTCTGTTGCTGCTTTCTCTGCCTTTTCGGCCAGGCCATTCAGGTAGGTATTCTTGTCCTTCATGATGGAATTCTTTACCTCCCGGTTTACTTCGGTGTACTCTTGTTGTGCAGCGAGTTTCTCAGTTTGGGTACGGCTGTTGTTGACTTGGGCCTTCAGCTCTCTTCTTCTTTTGACTTTGTCTAGATAGTCCTGTGAAATCCATTCATTCCTGGGGCTGTCTTTGGGTCCTAGGGTGCTCTGGCAAGTTGCATTTACTGCCTCTCTTATCTTATCCCAGTGTTCGTTGACTTCACATTCATCCAGGTCTTGAAGGGCTTGAAATCTGTTCTTCAGTTCCAACTTGAACTCATTCTTCTTTACTGGGTCTTTTAGAAGGCTCACTTCATACTTAAGACGATTTCCAGCTGTGACTTCTGCATCTCTTCTCAGTTTTAATTTCATCTTTCCAAGTATCAAATGGTGGTCTGAAGCAACGTCTGCTCCTCGTAAGACTCGGACGTCCTCCAGTGAGCGTTTAAACTTTCAGGAGATGCAAAAGTGGCCAATCTGGTTTTCCGTTGTTCCGTCCGGGGAGACCCAAGTGGCCTTGTGAATCCTTTTATGTGGGAAGATTGTACCTCCAATGACCAAGTTGTTGAATGCACAGAAGTTTTGGAACCTTTCTCCATTGTCATTTGCCTCTCCTAATCCGTGTCTGCCCATGATTTCCTCATTGTGACTATTGTCCGAACCTACCTTTGCATTTAGATCTCAAATGACAATGTTGATGTCCTTACCTGGAAGTTTGTCGATAACGTTCTGCAGGCGGTTGTAGATGTCATCTTTATTTTCCACTTCTGCATCATTGGTTGGAGCATACACTTGTATGATGTTCATGTTAATGACCTTCTTCCTACCATCTCTTACCTTGAGTTCTTTCTTAGTTCCAAATGAGGCCATGATGATCCTTGGACCATGTGCATCCCAGTCCCTGAATGTCTTTTGAGCTGTTTTTGATATGATCATCCCTACTCCTTCTCTGTGTGGTCCATCACTGTCATTTTCTGAATAAATAAAAAGCTCCCCCTCTTTCATTTGCTTCTCTCCAGGCTGGTTCAAGTGGGTCTCGCTGATTCCCAGTATGTGTAGTTGGTATCGGTGCATTTCTTGGAGAACTTGTGCAGTTTTTCCATCCTCATAAAGGGTCGTAACGTTCCACAAGCCGATCCGAAGAGACTTGGACTTGGATGATGGTGGAGGCTTCTGCCCAGCAGCTTCCTTTCGGCTTTCACTGCCTTGCATCATAAACTCTCCATTTAGAGAAGATCCACGATCAGCCAAGCAGACATAATGGTTTTTGCTTGTATGTGTTTCTGTAACAGGTTATTTTTACGAGAGAGGTTGTTAGCCTCATGACTCAACCCCCTACCTGGAGGCAGGATGACTCTGTTTCAGGAGTCACTACCTGGTTCGCCATTTAGTCGCCTCGTACGACACGCTAGCACCAGGTCAGTCCTATTCTTCTCAATGCCGAGACTGCACGACATGATGAAAGAGTTAATAGATAGAAATTCTCAGGTAATGTGAAGTTTGTGTTAACTGGGTTTTACTGTACTCACTTTCATTACATCACCCAGTCATGAACACTCACAGAAATAATCATGATATGTGTTAAAGAGAGTAAAAAGATATGTAACGTCAGAGCTATGCAATTAACTTTCCTTTCCTTCAGCAGGTCAGAAAATGAGTTAGCAAAGACTATTTCCGTAAACAAATATATATAGTGAAACAACAGGGAAAAGACATGGATGGTTTCTCTGGAGTCAGTTTCAGCACTATCCTCAGCTCAACAGTCATCACAAAACTAAACTAAATGAGGGCAAGAGCTAAAGCTCACCTTGATAGAGACTAATCAGGACCCACAGGAAAAAAGTCTTGAAAGACAGAGATCGCCCCTGAAAGCAAAAAAAAATTTTTTTTAATGAAAAACACTACAAAAACATCATACAAATTGCACTGTCAAACAAAGACGAAATCGCTCATCTTGGTTATCTTCAAAGGAGTACTTATTGAAAATTTCGATGATGAAACAGAGCATTAAATATAACTTCTCAATCATTCAAAGCATGACTTTACAATATACAGTAATAGATTCATGCCAGTCGTTTCTCACACTAGCCTGATGAAACCTTGTACTCCATAAGGCCACCTTTTTAAAATCTTGTTACTCTTTACAGTTTACAAATCAACATAAATTGCTGTTCTGTGTCAATGAATTGAAAAAGAGCTCTCAAGCTATTTATTACAGCCTAAATGCTTACTTTGGTTAAATCTTTATACAGCTCCGGGTAAGTGATGGCAATGTCAGCTGACACATCCTTGTCAAGCACCAGAGAGAAGACTGGGAACATGGTGTACACTGTCGCATATCTGAGGAAATCACAGATAACATTTGTGTAAATACCAATTCTTCCCGTAATTATGTCTTGATCACTGTGATTATCATACAATAACAACATGTGGCTCCATAACACTTGTCATAAGACACAGGATTCATGTAGGAATGGCTTCCAAATGTTAGCATGGGAATTATACCAATCTTGGACGAGACCGTGCGGATTCAGACACGGGTACTTGATCTGGGAGTTTGAAGTCGCTCCCCCTGAAGCGAGGGGATACAATATTATGTGTAAATTGTGCCCTCTCGACTCGAGTTCGAGGATCCTGTGTCAGAATCTCCGCATGTTTAATAGGGCGCGAAAAGAATATTCGAGGTAAATAATCAGGGAGTAGAATGCTGCATTTTTAAAGTTCACAATCTGTCTGTCAACCTGCTACCTACAACCCGCACATGAATACCCCAACATACCAGCCACTATACTGTCTTCCCACTTAGCTCCTAGCGGCACTTGTCTTGGCCCGATAGAAAAGGCTAAAACTAACAATGTCACTTTAGCAGAGACTGTGTCTACCATTTCGGAATTTCACGGTGACTGTAAAGATGGTTCCAGCAGGGAACAGGATAGAGGGTGCCCACGTCCCTCATGACTCATTGGAGCAGAGGAAGATAGGACTACACTAACATTACTTAAACGCAATCCCACATCATCACTCATCACCACCATTATTTCTAAAATCATCAAATCATCCCCGCTCTCAGATCAAGGACTTACATCTATAACCCTTGAATCTCTATCTGTAACAGTTACTTGTCATACTAAGTATGCACGTAATACACAATTGGACCCTATCATACGCATTTTTTTCTACTAATCAGATGGCGTCGATCTCATATAAATGGGCAAGGGATTAAAAAAACAACAACACAGGATTCAACAAACATTAAAACAAAACAAAACAAGAAGCTAACTGTGAATGTTTTTTAATCTAAGCACCAAATGCAGATGATATAGTATGAGCAGTTCACCAAAAAAATTTAGGAAATTTATACATAGTTTCTTTTATGAATAAACCCAGGAACAAGAATAAATCTATTTGCTCCGCTTAACTCCAGCACATAAAAGAAAAACACCAGTGATCAAAATCTACTTTGCAAAGCTACAGACCTAAAACTTAGCTCATGGAAAAGGGAGAATTCTGTCCCTAAATAACAAAACAAAAAAAGGCGGAAAAAAAATTTAATTAACCTACCCAACCATCAGGAATCCTGGGAAGAGGGCGATGGAAACAAAGTAGAAAACCGAGCAGAAGACAGCCTGCATTGTTGTGATGATGAGACCACGATGAATGACAAACTGGCTGAGTGAAGCCGAGCGCTTGTAGCTGTTCCGACCATGTACCAGCAACAAACGCCCAATGTGGCTGAACTGGGAGATGGAGAAATCTGCAGCCAATGAGGCCTGTTTGCCTTCCTGGAGAATAATAAAGAAAACGATTTGTTTAAACAAGAAAAAAAAAAAGCAATTAAAAAAATAATAAAACAGCATCTTTATGCACAGATATTGGCTTACAACTTGACTGCCTTTTTGTAATTTTGATTTTAAAACATACTCCTATATTTACTTTTATGTACAAATCATTGGCCATATGACCTTAACACTGTGCATCAGCAGAGGAATTTTAGCAGCATTGGAGGGTTCCCGCTGAACAGCCTATTGTGTTGGGATCACGGGGGGTCAGCTCCCTGTCAGCAAACTTTTGAATATGAAAGCTAGTCCAGCAAGCTTTCTTTGTTAAAAAAAACAACTGATGAGAAGTACACAAGCGTAGGAGATGAAAGGAGGAAATTCTCTGTCGAAAAACGTTTCCAACAATGTCAGTTTCAGCACCTATAGTCCATACTAAACTCATGTTAGGAAATATTGGTTAACTACTGATATACTGCTTTATAGGATTTTGAGTCAAAAGTGTCTGTCAAATTATCAACCCAGGAACAATCTTCCAATAAAAAATGTACAGTATGATCCATTTTCAATTTTTGAAGTATCCGTACATGAAAAAGGAAAGGATTCACCAACAAACCTTTCCCACAATACCAATCCCAGCATCAGCAGCCTGAATCATACTGACGTCATTGCCCCCATCTCCCACGGCACTCGTTCTCTTGCCCGTGTGAGTCTGGAGCAACTTGACAATGTCCGCCTTCTGTGTAGGGGAGCAGCGGCACACGACGACAGCTGGGCACTGGCACGCCAACTCCACAAACTCGTGCTCATAAAACTTGAGGCAAACCTACCAGACAAACAGAAAAACCTTTAAGAAATGTGCATACTTTCATTCTTTCAAAAAAGTAGGATTCTCTGCTTTTAGTGGTAAGATCAAGAAATACACACCACAAAAATTGTTTTTTAAAATGTCAGATTAGCAGCTGAGAAAAGCTAGCAGAGGTCTCTAAAAACAGCAAATTACTATTTTCATTAACATAAGCGTGATATCATCAAAGATATGTTGAGGAAAGGAAAGGATAACATTTGTGAAAGGAAAACAAGCACAAATGACAAGGTCCATCAATGTGACTAGGTTATGAAATAGCAAGTATTTATGATGAGTGTATACATGCATTGATGTGCACCGGTAACAGAAACACAGGATGAAAAGTAACAAGACTTACAAATGATTTAAACCAATACATTTTTTTTCCAAAAAAAAAGGAATAACTTTTCATGTTGTTGTTTGCTTTCAAATCCCTTTAGCTGCAAGCATTTCGCTCTTGGCAGAGCAATTCCTCCATCAAGTAACCACATGTCCTTGTCATCTGGTCAACGCCAGGACTTTTCACATAACTCATTCTAAAATTTCATCAACCCAACTTGGCCATGCTTAGTTTTTTAGTTTTAGTAGAGTTTTTTACAGCGCTCGCAACTTCATAAGGTCATAAACAAACATTTCAAATAAAACACCAGTGTGCAGCACTCTCTACCTGTAAGGAGTCACCACTGATGATGAGAGCCGCCTCGTTCTTCCTCCTCAGGGAGTTAAGCTCCAAATGAGCTTCACTACGGTCGTTGACCGATTGAAATACATAAATGTCCTGGAGTCGTGACACCATCTTCGAGCTTTTTGCAATGCAAATTGCAGTCTCCAGCTTGTCCCCTGTCAACATCCACACCTGAAGGAGGAAGACACGTGAAGGCGAAATAGATCAAGACATGAAATAAATGAAGCAAAATGGTAGGAAAAGAAAGCCAGTGAACCGAATACTTACATTACTCTTCTGACCTAACAAGTCATCTGAGCTCTTGTCCTTCCAATACGACCAGCATACAAAATGCCAAACTCAAATCGTGATTTTAAGATACAAAATATTTTTGCTGTATTCATGTCAAAAAGCTCAAGAGTTACAACTTTAAAAGGTACAACAGATCAGATACATAACTTGGCCACTAGAATGAAAAAGTAAACCTCAGTCAACATTTTCACTTTAAAAAAACAGATTGAATTTAGTTTTCTCAAAAAGGAAACTTTTTTTAAAAAGGTTGGAAATTGCATCAAAAGAATGCGGGATTAAACCATGACTGCTATGAAAATTGAAAACAATTTCCAATAGTGCTAAAAAAGCAACTAGGGAAAGTCTTTTTATAGATTAAATATTTGTCACCAGTATGACAATGTTAGCAGTTAGCCTGTACAATTCCCCAATTTTTCACAGTTAGACCACTGTAGTCAGCAATGCTGTATGCCTCCCTGTCTGATGCATCAAAATCACAAAATAAAATAAAATAAATAAACAAAATTGTTGGCCAAGGGACCATTTTAAAGTTATGTAGACCTTTGATCCAAGGGGATACATGACTGATCCAAGGGGATACATGACAACAGATAATCACCACAAATCTTTATCAGAAAAAAATCCCTACCCTAATTCCAGCATTTCGAAGCATCTCCAGTGTGGGTCTGACTCCTTCCTGTAGCTTATCCTCAACACCTGAAAAAATTACAAGAATGGAAACAGAAGTGCTATGATAGTCCAGCCCATTTCTCCAAGCTGGAGGGTATCTGTTCACGGTGGACATTATAACATATAATGATTGGGATGATCCTGGTTCAAATCCCTTACAGAATGTTCTTGTACTGAGCATTGCACTACCATTCACGTAAGAAGAAAAAGGACTGAGCTTGTTAAAAGAGAGTTGAAAAAAAACAACCTGGTCCTAAACCTTTTCTACAAATATTCTTTTTTCAACCACTACAGGATCATCATAGTTCAACAGGGTGCTGTTTAGATTTTGTTGGCATGTAAAGGGCTGGTTCAAAGCCAACTGCAAAAGAGGGGATATGCTCAAAGATGCGCATTGATTTAATTTCAAGACTATTGATCAAATTCAGTTTTTTCAAGACAAAACCTGTTTTTCTTAACCCTTCACCTCGTAAAAGTCTTTAAAAAATGAACTTTTATTACATGGAAGGCTATACCACCTTTGTACGCAGCCAATTTTTTCATCCATTTTTTTTTCAGCATCTTGAACTAACCAATAACTCTACTCCTATTTGAACAAAACAAACACCAAACTGAATAAAAATTAATGATCCAGGCAATAAACAACAATCTGATTATAAATAAGACAGATTTGCTGGAGTTAAGGATTTTAGTCATGACTGTAAAAAATTGAATGATGTTGTCCACCAGCTGAACTGGTGCACCGTTTAGTAAAAGTTATGAACTATTAAGCAAAAGCAAAAAGTTACCTGTAAGACAGAGAAGCTCCATATCACGTTCCAAGCCCTCAACTACAGCCTGCATTTTGCTGTTTCTCTCTTGAATGCTCATCTTTGCCTGGTGGTAACGGGACTGAGACAGAAACAAACAAAATGAATTTAATTCAAGTCTTCCAGTGGGACAGGATAAAAAAATTAAATAGTGAATAAATGATAACAGCCAGAACTGAAGCCTTATCCTAATCCTATTCTTTTTAAAAGTACCATTATATTTTTCTGCCAGCCCAAACAGCAGGAAGGTTTCCACAACAGGTCTTCCACACCAAAAAACAATTCCTATCAAAAAGTTCAGCTGTGAGCTTTCATACCCTAAGGTATTGAATAAGCCCCCCCCCCCCCCATTAATTTTCAGGGTTTTCTTGCCCCCCCCCCCCCCCCCCACCTATTCCATACCCCCTGTTTATTATTTTCCAGCTTGCCACGACCGACGATCATGTGAAACATATCTAGAATTTAGATATCTGAATGAAACTTCTTTTTTTTTTGGTGTAAATGACAAATTACCCTCAGTATTAGTACCGGTACCAGGTTGGCTACCTCAATTTTCTGTGCATTTTAAAAAGTTTTGTACATTGGTTCATATTTTTTAATGAAACCGGTTTATTCCTAAAGGAAAAATGTTGTCACAGTAACTTGCTAAAATCACTAAAATTTCACGATCTCTTGTTCTTTTTATTGTAGGAGAAATAAAACAGATTTGTTCCCACTAGTACAGGGGTATGAGGTTGAATGTGCCCCCCCCCCCCCTTTATTCCAACTCCCTGTTTATTAATTTTAAACCACTTGTCCAACCCCTCCCCTCCCGTTTATTCTTAACCATCCCCAACTTTTATTCCTTCGATACCTTAGAGTAGTATTTCAGCATAATGACAAGACCATGCTGGGTCATAATCTTAATGTATTGGTATTTCTTAAAACTCAGTTGTGCCTGTTTTCCACATCTACATAGTCCAAAGAAGAAGAAGTGGTGAAAATCTGGGACAGACAGGTGGAAAAATAATAGAAATGAGAGCATAGATATGTTGGAAATTAGCCATAACACAGTTTTGAGAAAAAGGATGTACACATAAAAACTTAGCACATTAGTATCTTTTGAAACAAAAACACAAAGAAAATGAGAAATGAATTGAATTTGGACGCAACTTTCAACCAGGGAGAAAACAGTAAAGGAGGTAATTTTGACTCAAACTGGATCAAACTCGAAAGCAACTTTAATCAGTTATTCTGGGCTCCACTGCTTAGAGAGCGGCTGCAAAAATTTAAACATTTAATAATTATAGGTTTCGTCTGAAAAAAAAGCATCTTCCACTCACATATCCTCACACACTTGAACATTAACCAAATACACTTCCAAAGAACAAAAGTTTTTTGCAACAAGATTCCCATTCAATCCTGTGTTTCACTGCTACTCACATCAAACTCTTGATACTGTTCCTCAGAGAGAACTTTCTTTGCCACCACCAGAGTTCTCAGGCCCTCTCGAGCCATGTTACCGCACTGGGAAGACGGAAATAAAACAATATTTTAAAGAGTCAGTGATAAAATGTAACGTTCAGACCAACCAGTAAATTTATCTGCCCTTTTAAAACTAAATTGCTGAAAATTTATGAAATTTCAAAAAAGCTATTTTTAAAAGCTCTTCAATTTTCAAACTTTAATTCAACTTAAGAATTCCTTTTACCCCATTCGCAATCAATATTATTTAAAATCTCACACAAATTTCGATACTAAATCTACAGTACACATTTAGCACACATGATTAAACGTGTGATTAACACAGAAGTTTTACGGACATCCTGGTTGTTGCAGGTATACTGCTTTATTTTTACTATCTTGATAGCAGTTATTTACAACAGTCTTTTTCCCTTCACAAAGTCTTGACTTCAATACTCTTGCCAAGTTATCATAAGGCCATATCTAAGAATATAAAATAAGTATAATTAAAACTTTGGGCGTAAAAATTACAAAGTTCAGCTTACCTCTTCTTCTAACCAATCATTGTACTGTACAATAGACTGCATAACGACATCAGCTCCTTTCAGGTAGAATGTGATCTCCCCAGACTCTTTGTCCTGAGAAAAAACATTTTGACAGTCATTTAGTACCTACAGAGTCAGTACACATATCTTTATGCATTTAGAATCATACTTCCACAAACTGACTAGGCATAGTTTTGTCAAAGATCTCATTTCCACTACTGAGAGTAAGACTGCCATACATCACTTTTCAAAATGGTGAATAGCACAGTCTTACACTAAGCAGTCAATTTGTTCTAATCAGGTAAAAGTGACATTGAATATAACTATCATAAAAATTCCTTTCAAACAGACAATACAGTGACATTTAATATTATGCTGAAGTGATGGAATACACTAGGAAAAGGATGAGCCCAGGCAAAATCACTTTTACGCTGTTGGACATCAAGGGCAGTCAGAAATGAAAGCATTGCCCGATGGAAGAGAGAGTTTGTGCTTACAAACTACTCAATGAGCCATTAAAAAACCAAAGAACAAACCTTCAAAATGATGCCCATCCTCTTGGACTCGGAAGTGAACGGGAAGATTTGCAAAATGCTGTAGGATGCTAAGGCACCAGTGGGGGTTCTCAGTGTGATGGAATTGAGGTCACGCTTCACTAAAGTCAAGTTGACACTTTCTGACCATGTCACGAGGGCAATCTGCACAAGAGATTAGAAGAGACAGCAGTTATTCAACCTGAAAACAATCCGATGAAGTAAATTAACAGTATCCATTGTCACGAACAATAATAATTTTTAAAAAAGTAGTCACTTCTATAGAGCCCACTCCCTTGCGGCTCTAGGTGTTCCGCAATAAAATAACACGTCCTAAGCTTACACAATGCATAGCATTCTATTCATTATGCAACAATCATTTCAAATACATATATGCATTCATAATATACCAAGTTCTCACAAAAGAACACATACACAAAAACTGTGGCCGCTGATCATTCTTGTTAATAGATAAAGAATTAAACTGAAAACTAGCTAAAAATAGCCGTAGGCCTTAAATAGAATAGAATCGAACAACAGAAGTCATGGTACATGGGAACATGGCACACTATCATAGGCATAGCATGCAAAAAACCCAACAGATGAGCATATTATTTCCAAGCTTGTAACAGACATTGTTCTGACACTGCTATAGCCTGTCATTATTGTACCCGTGGCTAACTTGGGTCTAGGCACACTAGAAAAATCAGGAGGCAAGAAATGCACAGAAATTATCAAAGTTTTAAGCCTGTAATAATTGGAGTTCATACATAAACTATGCTCTGAAAAAGAATCTTTTCATATCAAATAATGGTTTACGCCATACTGTCAGACCTGTTTTAATGACTGACTACCTGTCCATGACAAGCACCTGTACTAATAACCACTCCCCACTTTCCCTCTTTTCTACATCATAATGACACTGTTCAAGAAGGTCATATGTCTAAAGTGACCTGTCTTCTTCTAAACAATGGGTGGTCATCTTGGACAAGTTTGACTGAATTTTCTCTTGTTCTGCATCACCTCATAACTATGCCCTGAGAAAGCATCTTTCTACAACGTCAAGAAAAAGCATCTTTTCCAGCAGAATATTGCCTTCAGCATATTTCATCAGGAATCTCTACAAATGTACTAGCCCCAACATTTTTTTCAGGAGAGAAAAAACAAAACAGTTTCATTCTTATAACAAGTATACCAATTTAACAGTTATGTATTTTTCTTAAATTAATTTTTTCAACATTTAGATTTTTAATTCCAACAAAACATTTCTTGAGCATGTGCAACTGGAAATCGCTAATTAAAATTCTTTTCTTGGTTGTAGTACATTTGAAAAGCTGGCCGACCATTTACTCTTGTACTACATGTACATTACCTCATCTGGACTGGAGGCCTGGTAGGAGACCCTCTGCTTGAGTTGCTGGTCTGCCTCAGTGTCGTCACTTTTCACATCACCGTTGCTCGACTCCTCGTACACAGGAGTCACATTGTGGCACAGAGCAATGGCACGCACCGCTTCCACAACACGCGTCAGCACACTGCGGCGCACAGGTCCAGAGCTACGCACTGGTGTGGCATTTGTGGTGCTTGGGGTGGAATATGATGTCTTGAGGTGGGATACAACCTAGGGAAGAAAAGGATTTTTAGAAATTTTCGCAACACACACCCTTGGACATTGTCAGGAACTAACATCATAACTAAAGGCAGGTTTTAACTTGATGAATCTTTCATGACAATTACTTAATCCATCATACAGTGTGACCGATTCATCGAAAAGCTACAATATTTTCATATGCCATAAAGACAGCCAGGAACACATCCAAAGCAGATATTACAAGAAAAACAAAAATGTCACTCCCAGAGAACAGACAAATCTAACCCACTTAGAATAACTTGTCAGCCTGAAAATGGTTCAACATGATGAATAAACTATCTACTCAGTACCCTTGCAACTGTGAGGCTGTTACAATGAAAAAAAAAAAGAACCTTCTAGGCTTCACATGAAAGGTTATACTACAAATCATTATTCTGTAAGTGCTATGTCTCCTCACCTCATCCATTGTCTCCGGGGTGAAAGAAACAGTGCCCAAGTGGAGTCGTTTGAACACCTAGGAGAGAAAAAAACAAAAAAACCACCTTATGTGTGAGCGATTTACATCTGTATTTTGCAGATATGTTTGTATCTTAAAAAGAAGTAACTGCCCCCCCCCCCCCCCCCCCGCCAAAAAAAACAACAAACCCCAACCCAATTAAAACCCAGATAAAACATTCAGAAGTCATACACTTTCAAAAAGTTAGATAAGAAAACAGCTTGTTAAGGATTTTCTCATATTTCCTCGTTTCCATTATGGACGAAAGAATAACACATGATATTCCCAACAATTCTGTACAGAAAAAAGATCCACAAACACATTCTCCAAGCCACAAACAATACTGAGAGTCATATTCATAGTTATTCAAAAGGGTCAAAAGTTACCAATTATAGTCTTATCTTATTCAAAAGAAAACAGCTATATCTTCAATAAGCGGTAGGATTATATAAAATCAGCAGAAATCAGAAAATTCAGGCTGAAATTTGCAAAGGAACACTTAAGGAAAACTATGTACCTCATTCCAACAGTAGATGTTAAAAACAGCTGAATAAATAAGCCCCCCCCCCCCCCCCCCCCCGAAATGCCACCTTTACCCCTTTTCCTGTTAGTAAGAATGACCAGCCACCCCAGGTAAATTCTGGACACTAACCATTTCATTTTGAGTGAGTGTGCCAGTTTTGTCGCTAAGTAGGTATGTGATTCGGCCCAACTCCTCTGGGATGGTGGTGCTGCGTGCTGTAGTGCCTGGGATAGTTTTGTCTCGTTGGATCACCCAAGAATAGAAAGCTTTGCCCATGTCCAGGTTCATACGCAGACTGAAAATCAAAGGAGGAAAATCAATCTTCATATTTTACTTTTTTTTAAAATAATCAAATTAAATAGAACAGCCCTGAAGGGTAAAACAACAAACCAGAATAAGTAGAGTTACAGCATTTTATGACATTTATCATAGAGTAACAATGCACTCATATGAAGCCAACTTTGAACCTGTAATGATTAATTTCAGAAAATGGAGGCAAATACAATCTCCGGGAATAGCAAGTTCACACTGGAACGATTTAAAAAAAAGAGAACTGTCATTAATAGTCACCTAGCTTTCACAATACACAAATATTTTTCTACACACATTGTTCTTGTGCCAGTTAAATTGTGTTCATTGACCAAAAAAACAAGCTGTCAGAAACTCTTACCTGATGGGGATAATGTATGAGAAGAGAAGCACAAAGCGGAAAAAGTATCTGTACCATGGTCCTCCAAAGCCCTATCACACAGGAAAAAAAAGAACAATATCATATATCAAATCATGTCTGCACTTTCGAGTGACAGGGAAAAACTAAAGTACATTAGATGCAAAAAAATGACCTGGTTCCCTTAAATAAAGCAAAAATAAGCAAAAACCTTTCATCCATTACCTAAACCTGAGTTCATCGTTCAAGACTCATCCTTGAGGCTGTGCAAGCTCAAACTATTTCTTTTTCTTCCTTAAAATTTTCAAAAACTTCGTAATTATTAAAAGAAGCAAGATTCATATCCATAAATAACTAGCCCATTCCTTTTGAACAGAGAATAATTTGCAGCAAATTTGGGGTTGTACATTTTATTGAGCACTAATCCAAAAAGTTTCAATTTGAGCAAATTGGAATTAATATAACTTTCAGGTCCATTTCTGTACATCTTGCATAAAGCCAAAACAGTACCAATGCACAAACTATGAACTTAAATTTTTTACACACCATGACAAAGTTGCGAAGAAGGCACGCCTTTTCATTAGGTTGAACTTGTAGGCTCACACATTCTGCATTTGGACTTTTCCACACAGAGAACATTTTTAAAGCAAAAGACATATTCCCGAAATAAGATTTGAGTATTCAAACATACTTCTTACCTTGAGGGTAACCATGACAAGCGACAAGACGAGAACAGCAAAGAAAAGCAGCTTGGTCAGTGTGTTGATCTCCAGGTCCAGTAGACCAATCTGGACAAAAAAAGGGAAAACAAGTCTGTAGTAAGAGCTTTTTCTGAGCAATCGCAAGGCATGGTGCCATATGGTATTGTAAAGTCAAAGACTTTATACTACAAATTGGTTTATTCTCAAGAAACATAAATAAATTTTTAAGCACCCTTGGCAATCTATAAGCTGTAATATAGACATGACAACAGGTGCTGATCAAAACTTTTCATTTAATTTCTCACAAAAAATTCTTATAGGACAATATCTGCTTTTACATTTGTACACAAGACACATCCCTTCATAAGAATAGTATCCACAGCGTGATAAAGTTGTCGCCACCACCTCTCTGGAGGATTTTTTTCAGTATCTCAACTATTGTCGAGAACCATCATGCTGAAAACAATCATTAGTATAGAGTGGTCCTGAGATGACACAGTGCTGTGTGCCACTGAATAAAAAGTAATGACACTGCATGGCACTGAATTATATTTAATGTTTATAAGAGACGACAAAGAAACATTGAAGGAGCCCTGAGAAACTACATCATCTCAATTGAAAGAGCTGCACAGTTAGTCTACTATACAAAAACCATCTCCCCATCACACTCAACAGCAACAGAGGATGAATCCGTGTAAGTTAAAAGGAAAAGTAACATATCAGAATAAGAAACGAATCATTCTCTGTTTTGAAAACACAAAGACACCAATGTCACAGCTGCCCAATAAGAAGACAAGAGTTGACCACTCACTTTGCTCTTGGGCTGCGAGGTGTTCATGACACTGCGTGTCTCCGAGCCTGTGTAGATGACCACGCCCAGAGCGGTGCCAGAAGCCACCACTGTGTTGGCCCAAAGTGTGTTCTCGATGCTCAGGGAGTCCTCATGTTCACTTCCAGTGTCCGACTGAGGACAAGAGGTAGAAAATGGAGCACAATGTCAGAGATTTAGCAGATGCTGGTCACAGAGTGTGCACATAATATGTCATTGAAAGTTTAGAGGTTTAATAGCCTTTCCAGACCGAAAGACTAGAACTCAGACAGCGACGACATTAGAAAAAAATCGAGGAGCGTGAACGACTTCATCCGTAAGGGATTAACATGCTTACTAGTTTAATGTTATTTTGTTTACGGGGGCACTTAGTTTGGACCCTTTGGGAGTGAAAAGGAAGGTCCCATTTCTTAAATAACCTTTGTGCTGAAAGGGTCAGTACATTCATGGGTCACAACGAAATGGAATCAAGCGCTCGTCAATTTTTGGGCATGAGGAGTTATTTATATCACCTGAAAGCTGATTCATTTGTCTTGCTTCCAATGAAATAAATATCAGTTTATCAAGGACAGAACTCAAGATATTCGAGATTGAAGGAGGTGAGGTCGCCTGGTTTCAGTGGTGAAATTAGCGAGCAAATGGCTGCTAAAGCTTGGTAACTCCAATAGCTAAAATGTCTTTGAAAACTGAAAAATGACAAATTTTGTGCCTTTAATGAATGTTTTCCAGTAAAATTCACATGGAAATGTATTTTTATATGGATGTAAAACAGGTTAAGCCAAAAAATAAAAATTCGATAAAAATTTCCAAACTGGCGGAAAAATGTCTATTTCTCTGATTTTATTTTGACGAGCGCCTGGTTTCACCACGCTGCCTCACAGAAGATATCATACAAAACCTACAAAACTTATAAATTTACCCTTCTTTTGTGCAAATTCCAAATCTTTGTGGTTTCTCTTAAAGGCAGTAAACACAGCTTTTATCTTGTACCTCTTGTTTCAAGCACTCAAAAATTAACTTCTTTGTGCACTAACATTTTTGCAGGACATGTAGAAGTTATATGTTCACAAAAACACACAAGATTTTTTTAAAACTTCCAACAAACAGATATCTCACTCGTGTGAATGTCCCAACAAAGCTGTGAATGTCTTTCTGGGGTTTTTCAGCATAAACATTGGCTGTGATGTCTAGGATATCCTGAAAGAGTCAGAAACATCTAGTAAGAGACCAGTCAAATGAGATAAGAAATACTTTATTCATTTTTTATTGAAAAAAACCCCAACAAAAGAGGCTGTGTCTTTTCAACAGCTTTCGTAAATACAAAATAGAAATACATATGACCCTATCAACACAATCACACTTATAAACACTCATGTCTCCAGCACTTGAGCACACTAAAATACTAAAAATCATCCAACCTCTCTTTTTCTCACACCAACTAAAAACACTGTAAATCTACCAATATACATTGGTAAATTGACACTACAAGAGAAGCTGTATGGGCTGACAGATGAACTGAGCAGGATACCCCAGTATATGATAGATATCGGACTTTAATTGAGATGCGATTGAAAAGAAGAATAAACACTGGTCATTAACAGGAAATCAGAAAAAGAATATGCCTTATCAATAGAAACTAGCACACACAAAAAAAACCCCAAGAAAGAGCAAACCACTAATAATACTGAAGACTGGCTGTGACAGATATACTTTAATGTTTATTGTTCTTAACTGAGACCAAGTCTTTTGGTTAGTTTTACTTTTAGTAAGAGTTTTACGCCATTTGCAACACAATAATGTCATAAAAGTGCCAAAGATTAGAGGTGTTACAAGAGAGTAACGAACACAAAAAAGGAGGAGAGATCAGGATGATAAGTATTTGATCGGAAAGAAGGAGCAAACCATACCAGAGCACCCACCAATCACCCACAGCCTTTTGGTTAGGCAACTCATTCATACGAATGAAGAAACTAAAAACTTGTTTCACACAAGATTATTAGATTTTAAAAAATATTCAGCTGTGTAAATCAAAATTAATTTCCCTGTAAAACAAAGACAACCACAAAATGCAAATAACCTGATCAATGTCAAGGCAGATTTGTCATATATTACAACTTAGACTGTTATCTAAATATTTCGTTCACAGCTTGCAAAAGATCAATACTGCACATCTGGTGTACACAGCTACAGAGCATGTCAAAGAATTACTGACCACATTAGAAGGGAGTCTATGTGTGTCTTGCACAGCCAGACGTAATTTCCAGTCTGTCTCTCCATCCAGCTGGTCAGTACGGATGAAACACCCTCCGTCCTTCTCTGATGTTCTCAGCAAAACCATATCTGCAGGCACTCTTTGGTTCTACAGAAGGAAAACAAATCATATTGCTGTTGCTTGGAGTTTAAAAAGAACACACTGAGACAATAATGAAAGTTTTGTTGGGGAATGGAAAAAGGTAACTTATGCTGAAAGAATTTATTTTAAAAAAATTATAGTAGAGGGTTTTACAGCGCTCGCAACTGCATAAGGTCATATGAGCGCCAAGGGGTGGGTGTCAACAGAGAAGTCTTTACAGGGAATCAGACTTACACTGCTCACCTCTCTAGCTTCAACAGCACAAGGTCTGCTTCAACTATCAAGGCACCCCGGAAATAGCA